AACTCTGTTGGATTAGTTTTACGCCGCTTTTAGCAATATTCCAGCAATATCACGGCGGGGGACACCAGAAATGGAAGCAACACATTGTGCCCATGTGGGGAATCGAACCCGGGTCTTCGGCGTGACGAGCCAACGCTTTAACCATTAGGCTACCCCACCGCCCCCAACTCTTTGGAACCCCGTGGAACCATGGCAGACAATTCAGGTCACGGGTCTCCCTTTAATTATTTGAACATTTTTAACCCAGTTGATAATTTTTGTTAAAGTCTCGTTAAAAATAAAACTGAACACTAACAACATAATGGGAATGTAAGACGCATTTACCAAACACAGAATTGTCACACACGATTGAAGACAAAATCTGTATACAGTGAACCATAAACCACAAAGCACAGGCTGTACAGAATCTTCACAAATCATTTCATTCCGAGACTAGCCGAATTGTAGGTTGAACTGTCATTAACTTGTCATTCACAGAAATGTAGGTTTCGGACCATTCGTCACCACTCGCCCGTTTCCGTAACCTCGAAGAAATCTCGCACCCACTCGTTATACTCCGGGACAAGCCGAATACCGACTCGTGCCCCTCTGAAACGATTTCATACGGGTATGAACATTAGAACTACTTCAAACAAGGACGACAACTCTATTGCTGTTCAATTTCAACAGGAAAAACATTACCGAAGCACTCACAAGTTTCTGATTTTAAAATTGTTCAACTTATTTTAAACAATTATAATGACGACGATGATTTGTTGGAAACATTTTCTTACGTTATTATTTCCAGCTGTTCACCTTATAATTCCAAATGCAAAGTTCTAAAAAATGATTAAAAATCTCAAATAGGATTTGTTTTCATGAATATTCAAATATAATTACATTTTGTCAGCTGTTATAAGTCTCAAAATAGATACACAATAAGATTACAATAATTTCAAACTGAAGAATTCGTGGAGAGTCCAAACATGATTTAGTGTACGGGATGTCTATACCTGGTGCCTGACCGTGTATATGTAACCGTGCTGCCATAAACCTCCTGAAATTCAACATGAATACGCTGAAAAAATATAAAGACCAAAAACATCCGACTACAACATCCCCCCGTGAAGTGAAATAGAAGATTCAATTGGATTAGTTCTATATAACTGTATTGTTTGGAAATTCGTAGCTATTTTTAATTACACTACCTAAAAATGTCGGAGAGCGCACGTAAAATCTCGAAAGCACGCAAAAACACACAATTTGAAATATGATATTCGTTATGGAAACAAACGGACGTGTGAGATTGAATTGTATTCATAGCCCTATCCTACCTTCTGATTAGGCAAATCAATTCTGTTTGCTATGTTCTATATAATGTCAAAATGACGATATATATTTTTCACGATTTTTTTAACAATCACAAAATGCCATAACCGATTTAGTGCTTGGGATTGTTGGTATCAGAGTACCTGATTGAAGGGACGTAATTTCGCACATAGCATTCACCGAGACGGGAACCATTCGTCACCACTCGCCTCCAAGAGGTTTGTCCCAGTTAAATGACAAACGTCGGACAACAAGCGGCGCACGTAAAATCTGCTCACCTTATCATGGTGAAAAGTTCTCCTTTCAAACCGTTAAAATAGTTAAAATTTACACACAAAAATTAAACTGTAGATGAAAAAATAAAAACATATGCGTTGCATTAAAACGGCGGCAAACTCTTTGATCATAAGATGAACTTTCCAATACAGTCATTTCACCCAAATAATGTATCAACTCTTTTAAAAGCATATGAGAAATTTCGATTATTTTTTAACATCTTAATCCATGTTCTGACAAGCAAGGTCTTTACACAATAAATGAGCGCAGTTACCTGCACAGGCCAGAAGTAGGTCAAAACACATTCCACAACCGGACACTCACCTTCTCGTTATGGTCGTAAACCTTTAAAAACATGCACTCTTGGGTCCTTTATTTTTATAACAGACGAACTTACAACATATCGCGACATGTAAAACCTAGTAGGCCAAAGCTGACAGATTATTTTGTTTAAAAAGATATAAAAATGCGTGTGATGTGGATCCAGATATCAGAAAAATGCGCCCGTTTAACTGTTGCATTCAACTTGCAAACAAATGTCATGCATTTCAGGAATTGAATAATACATAAGTAAATAAGTAACATATATTCGAGACGATTTAAAAAGCTGGCATTTTACAAACATATTTTGTTAACACGATAGAAAAGTATGTTCTTCCTCTTGTATTACCCATAAGGCCAAATGTAATGTGAGTGAGTGAGTGAGTTATTGTTTAACGTCACATCGGCAATATTGCAGCCATATCGTGACGAGAACATATTTGATTTTGAAGTGCAATATATGTATATTATAAAAGCCTGTCGACGAAGGACAGTAAAACAACTAGAATATCTCAATTAGAATTAAAACTAGCGTGGAACGTTTAAAACTAATAGCACTATTGAGACAATACAATATAAAAAACAGGCTATAGATCGCCAACAACAGAAGGTAGATCACCATACTAGGGACCATGGCCAAATGTAATGTAGCCATGCTTGTCGTAAGAGGCGACTAACGGGATCGCTGGTGGTCAGGCTCGCTGACCTGGTTGATGTAAATCATCCAAGTAGCATAGATCTATGCTCATGATGTTGATCACTTAAACAACACTGTACATCGTGCACAAATTATTTCAGTTAAACAAGGGGCGGTGGGGTAGCCTAGTGGTTAAAGCGTTCGATCGTCGCGCAGAAGACCTGGGTTCGATTCCCCACATGGGTACAATGTGTGAAGCCTATTTCTGGTGTTCCTCGCCGTGATATTGCTGGAATATTGCTAAACGCAGCGTAAAACCATGCTCACTCAGTTAAACATATATCGCCCTTGACCTTCGCTCTGGCACGTCTAGATACACAATACTAAACAACAACCTGCAATAGTGACACCAATAATTTTAGTTAAACACCATGTCGTTCATGACCTTCGCTCTGGCACGTCTAGATACACAATACTAAACAACACTGTGCAATAGTGACACCAATTATTTTAGTTAAACACCATGTCGTTCATGACCTTCGCTCTGGCACTCCAAGACAGTTCATTTGGACGTCTTATTACACAACAATAAACAATAGTGTACATAATGACACCAATATTTCGTTTCTAAGATGCCAAATTTACTCAAAGCGGAGGAGAGGGCAAGATACTGAGCGGCCTGTGTACCTCCTTAACACTGCCCATGAACTGAGGTTGAAACGGATAGTAAATGTAAGTACATGTACTCGAGTACTCGCCTTCAACTACTGGCGAGTACCCGAGTATTCGTCCTCCGGGGGCATTCATGTCATGTTATGCGTACGTTATATACCCAAAGAACTTAGTTAAGCACCCCCTGACATACCTCATGATTGAATGAGCCCCGATCTTAACCCTTTGGAGCATATCTAGGATATGATTGGTCGTCGTGTGCAACAAAAGGATGTTCCTGTACAGAACTTGCCCCAGTTGGAAGCTACTTTACATGAGGAATGGCGTAGACTGCACCTTCAGAGGATAAGGAGGCTGACAGGGGGTATGAGGAGGAGAGTGCTGGCTGTCATACAGTCACATGGAGGTTACACTCGGTATTGACCTTGAATCGTGTAAGACACGCAAAATGATATTTGAATGTTCACATTCACCAATAAATTCAACATTAATCATTGCAGGGTCATACTTGTACAGACATGGTTTCGTATGAAAGTCAGTGTATTTTGATTTTTTAATGCACGAGTAGTCGAGTTATGCTCCTACCCGCCTCGTACTCGAGTACTCGGGTACCCGTTTCATCCCTTCCATGAATTATAGTAATCCTCAAGTGCCCCCTCTCATATCTTGTGAGAGGCGATGTTTGGCTATATATGGGTCCCATATACTGACACCAAGGTCACATTTTTCCAACTTGCGCCGGTTGTCTCTTGAATCATCACTCTTCACATTCTGTGGAGGTGTGGGAACCTTTGTCTTACCTCAGTATGTAAATTAGTGTTGATGCTTCGTTTGAGTGCGAGGCATGGGGGTTGTTAGTAGTTAAAGCTCGTCACACCGAAGATCTATCTAACCCTCACTCATTCCTGAAACATTTTGTAAAACGCAATCGGTGGGTGGACAGTTTTGAGAACAAAAAGTATTAAACTGGGTCAGTTAACACTGGGGTAAGAAATGAAAAACTGATGAAAATGACCACAACCTTATTTGAAATAATTTGTTTTATTATCACAAACGTTTTAAGTGATATCACTATTTATACAGACTACATTATGATTAAAATAATGACATCGAAATTTCATTCGGCGATATATTACAATATTGGTGAATTTTATAATCAATCAATCCAACTTGTCATGTCAGTTTATCATCTTTATCTATTAGCGGATCTCTTGACTATAAATTAGAGGCATTAATTTTAGTAAAATGTCAATGTTTTTGCTAAATAAATGACTTAATGTGTGGAAATCTGTGATTGATCATTCACACACATGGAAATATACTCATACGTGTTTAGAATGTGTGATATCTCAAAATGATGAAATGAAAAATCGAAGTTGTAGATTTTTTTTACTTATCCATATTTTAGATTTTATTTATGCAAGGACATCGCTTCTGTTCTACTGCTTTAGGAAAATCTAATTTGGGATATGAGGACATAAGTTATTAAACTACATTTTGTATTAAATGGTTACACATTATTTCAGTGAGGGTATATATACGGGTTGATCACATAGATTCACTGCAATGGTCCATAATGTTTTTTCTTCCGTGTTTACCCTGCATAAAGGTATGACATCGTGATTAGCCCGTTACCATGTCTATTATCGTCACGGTTATATATTATGTCACCATTCAAACAGAAAACGAACATACCATTGACGTATCAACGGAGACTGGATTAAGTCTAGAACAGGGTTCGAGAATGTCTATTTTTTAGTCTGACGCTAGATGGCGTTGTGTGTTTGTTGCCTCACGTGAGAGTTACCGAGATCCAAAATGGAAGCAGTCGACATGGAACGTCGATTACCTGTTATTGTTTTTGTTTTGATATGTCTTTATGTGAACCCTGCTTGGTCATTCCATGAAAATGTTGTTAGTTTTCAGTCGCATGCCGTATCTGCAAAGGATGCAGTGAATTCGATTTCCAGTAGCGTTAGTTTAGAACGCAGCAAACGGGACGTGTCAGATGATCAGGCGAAATGTGCGAAGCAAGAACAAGATTTCCTCACCGATTTAAGAGCAAACAAGGACCTTGCACATAAGGTGAGATATATGTTTCTAATAAGCGTGTCATCAACCTGTTTCATTACTATCATACTTGTTGTCACTGATCAACTGATTGAAACCCATGTACAGGTAATAATACTAGCGTCAGCAGATTGTCATTAATTCAGCTGCGAGCCGTTACACCAGGAAGGACACAGATACAGCTGATAAACAAAGTAAACAATGAATGTATTAGTTTTCACCAGAGTTCACCGAACAGAATGTTGTTGATACTACTGTTAATGGTAGTTGCTATGTTGTTTTATTTATGATGAAGATGGTGCCATTTCAATTTTAGCATTTTTTCATATTTTTTTTATTTTAAATTTATTGAACTGAAGGTAGTAGATCATGCCAATTCTTATGGGCTATGCTATAGCACAAATGAAGTTCTCGTTTAGAGTTCTGTCCCCAAATTTCACTGATATGAAGGCTCCTGCACTGCTAAACGTTTCCTTCTAAACCTTTCGATCTGCAGCTTTTGCAAGGCACCTGTGTATTTCAGTTTTCATTACTAATAATACTATCTTCCTTGTACAGAAGACTGTAACTGGAGTACACACAAACTTGTGACCATCGGATTGTTCACCCAAATATTATCTGACTGAGCTACGTCCCCACTCATGGCATTCATGTTAGTTGTGTTACATTATGTGAAAATATATCCAGTTGTGCCTAAGACCTTATGGAAAGAAGCAAAACGTATCGAATATACGTCACAGACAGTTACCAAGGTTACAGGTGAACATTGTGTCACAGACACACTAATGAATTATTCCCAATCCATTTGGCACACCTGTCCATAATCAACAAGATACCAACTGGTGTGGAATGAACAGATATGGCGCGACCTTAACAGGGCTGTGAACGTTAGGCGTCAGATGTTGAATTCCTGGATATGCATGAATGGCATGGTATTCAGTAATTTGTCGGGTGATTTTGTGACAGAAAGAGGACACTGTTAGGATAATGTGGATCATAGTAAGGAACCAGGAAGGCATGAGCATGTCTGGTGACGCCACTAGGGTGATTTGGCTTTTGAATCACTACAGAACAATTGTGTCCCCGACCGCGTCATACCAAAAGACGTAAAAATATGGTACTTGTTGGTCCCTGTCTGGCGCTCGGCATTAATGGGTACAACAAGGACTGGTCGTCTCGGAGTCAGTATAATGTGTCTGAGTGGGGTATTCATGCTTCACTGCGGCATGGTATCTCAGTGGGCTAGCACTATAAAACCAGCTTCAGTCTGGGCTAGTACAAGCAGCCGCACATACACATACACACGCATGCACGTCGTCATATGAGCGAAATATTCTCGAGCACGACGTAAAACCCAATTTCACCTCACCTCACAGAACAGTTGTATTAGATGTAAGTCACTTAGGTGAAATTTTCTGGACACTTTCCGGCAGCCAAATTTGTTCATGCATGACCAGTTCAGTATGTTTTCTCAAAGTCTTTTGTTTGAAAAATCATCAATACAACTGAAAAATGAAGAGCAAGACAAAGTTGCTGCCCCAGTTCTTTAAAATGCACGAGAAGGGGTGCAACCCCTTTAAAATCCCAGCACATCTCTCTTTAGTTGTTTTTACATTACAAAGAAGGCACCTGAAAATCTAACTGAAAAGATGTCCTGGGGTAGATAGTAGTGGTGGTCCGATTAATTGAAATAATCGAAGATTGGTCGCAGTGACTAAACGACCAAGCAATCGATCATGTTTTCTCATAATCGAACACAAACAATTCTGGAACACTTTTTGAATTAACAATATTTTTCACAAGGTTGGTTTTGTAAGTTACATTTCATAACCACTACAAGCTTGTTCCAAGTCATGATTGAATTTATCTTAAAGACTCAAGGAATTTTATGTTCCTAACATACTAGTTAAGTAGTAATCCTTTCAAGATGTGAAATTTGCCACAAATTCACCCCCAAAGAACTACATGTTTTTTCATTATGTTTTTTTTCATTAACAAAATACAACAAAAAAAAACAGGAAAATTTTCATAAATGACGCTAACCAATTATTTTTGATGATTGATCGGTTGTAATGAAGCAATCGTCAATTATGAGGTTTTAACCAATTCCCAACACTAGTAGATAGTATTCAGATCAGCGATGTTTGGGTGTTACTGCTGTATAATATTGATCTACTTGATAAACTGAATTCCTGTGCATAAAATCAAAAGAACTGAATCAGAAAAATGATATATATACACACTCTTCAAAAAAAAGAAACGTGACATGCTGTTTTGGACTTATTTACTGAGTGCATATAACTGATTCAAACATGCCATCATTGCCCAATTACAGTAAAATCATCACTTTACAAATTTCCAAAACATGATTATCCAGAATGTGTTTTGTAAAACCACAGAGGTCTATTAAAGCCACTTGGTCAGAGTAAAATGTCAGTATCTGGTGTGACCACCATGAGCATCGATAACAGCTTGGCAGCGGTGACCCATAGGGGAAAGGAGATGCCGAATGCTGTCTTGGAATCTTTTTATACTCTTGCTGAAGTGCTGTGTGCAGTTCTTGTAGTGTCTGAGGTGGCAGATTACACTGGCACAAGTGTTGATCAAGAGTATCCCATAGATGTGCAATGGGCGACCAATCAGGTGCTCGAAAGGCCATGGTAACACTTAAACAATGTTTTGCTGGAGGAAGTCCTGGGCTGGCAAACATGTGCAACATGAGGTCGAGCATTGTCATGCTGGAAAGATCCACCGTTGGCGTTGATGAAGGGAACGACATGACGTTGCAAAATCTCGTCTCTACAGCGAACCCCATTTCAATGCACCTACCACGTTCACAAGAGCTGTCTGGCCATTATGATGGATACTTGCACACACCATGATACTTCCACCACCAAATCTATCAACCTGCTTTACACAGTTATAGGCATAATATTCGTTCCGACGTCGTGTATAAATGTGAACGTCCATCAGCATGTGAGAAGAAACTGGGACTCATCTGAGAACAAATTTGTCCTCCGTCTTGCCCACAGCCATTTCAATCGTTGTCTGCACCATTGTAGACGTTTAACCCGGTGACGTTACGTCGAGCTGGTCTTCTGGCAAAAAAGTTCGGCTTCCCATAGTCGATTACGCACTGTCTGGTTGGAGATTCGACACAGTCCAGGGATTTGGGTTGTTGTGGATGTTGCGGTAGTGGTGCGTGAAGAAAGATGTCTCGACCGAATGTAGTGATCCTGGGTGGCCATGGTAACTCTAGGTCGACCTGACCAGGGTTTGTCATTAACACTCCCAGTATTGTTGTATCGGACACATGGTTTGAGATGGTCTGTCTGGAAACTGCGAAGTGCCTTGCCACCTCATGCTGCGATACCCCCCCTTGTTAACGGCCGATGGCGTTGTGTCATTGAGTTTCTGTCAGTCTTGGCATTCTTTTGTCACCTATAGTGCCTTGAAGCAAAGCATGTGGAGTACCGTTGATGTGGCTTTTTAAAGCCTACAGTCATAGGCCTCAGCTCGGGGTGATACACAATTCATGATGCTAATGCATTTCATGTAGGGTGCGTTTTAGCGATTCACTACACACGTGCGTGTAACACCGACTGTAATGTTACATTTTTGTTCAACGTTTCTTTTTTTTAACGTTTGGTCGTCGGCAAAAATTTTCCACATGTTGAGATTCAGCATAGATTGGTTTGTGTCAAATATTTTGCTAAAATTCAAATTGTTCTTATGTCAGTTTTCTTTTTGTGAAGAGTATATATGTCAGTTCCCTTTAAAAATCCTTTTCACCCACTGAAATCAGTTGAAGTTGAAATATGTATATAAATTTAGATAAAAGTACATTCATAAACTATAACATGTACCTGCTGCTGCTGCATGCTTTATGTTGTAAACAAAACTTGACAACGCTCTTCGTCTAACAAAGACTCTCACATAAGGACAGTGTTGTAGAGATGATAGATCTCTCGGAGCCGGTTGTGTACACTCGATGACACCAGCAACAGCCTGACCTCATAAGACATAGTTTCACCAGTGTGCTTGCAACGGAAATTCGCAAGTTACGTGTGGGTATTGTGACATGTTTATAAAGTTTGTGTGGCTGAATTCTAAAGTTGGACCCTGTGGCCTTCAGCTGGTGTATCACTTCATTTGTTCGAGGTAGATCATAATGTACCATCAAAATTACGCTAGGTATTTGTGGAAAAAGCATCATTTTGCAACAAGCCATTATCTCCCAGACATGGCCACTTCTATCCTTGTCATGTTGAATAGATCATGGTTGTCACTCACTATATTCACAAGCTTAAGAACTTCGCTGATGCTTTCTTACCTGGTTCCAACAACAGCCAGTGCTGAAATACTGTTGAAGATTGGGTTAGAATTGGTCTTCAGCCATCCATGCTTGTCGTAAAAGGTGACTAACAGGGTCTTGTGGTCAGGCTGGCCTACTTGGTCAACACATGTCATTGGATACCAATGGGGAAGATCGCTGCTCATAATGTTGATCACTTGATTACAGTCTCGACTCGATTATTTATTGTTTACAGATTGTTGCCATTTTGCTGGAATATTGTTGTGTGCAGCGTTAAACAAACAAATGAGCGAAAAGCAAAACAAATGAAAAACATGGTAATATTGCCCAAACCACGTTGGCTGTCATAATTTTCATTAGATGTTTGCTATTACATAAGCTGAGATTATTAATCTGATCAGAATGTTATTAGGCTCAGGCTTCAGACTTGATGCATTCAACACATACTGCCATTGTGTGGGCATATGTGTGTTAGCAATATTGATTGTAATCAGGGATATATCATGTTTTGTGAAACAGCTTCTGTAGACCATTGTCAGTGTGGGTATGTTTTACAGTACGTAAAGTAGATCTAGCTGATACGTCCATGGTTTTCACTGTATGAACTGAGGCTGGCTAGAAGATTGTGGAAGAATTGTTAACAATTAACAGTTTGAAAACTATGACATCCATAATATGTTACATTAACTATTCTGATGAA